AAATTACATAAATTTTCAAAATTTCGAAAAATTTGATAATCTTGAAAATTTTAAAAATTTGGAAAATATCATAAACTTTGAAAATTTTGAAAATTTTAAAAATTTCGAGAATTTTGAAAATTTCGAAAATTTTGAAAACTGGAAATTTTAAAAATCATGATTATGAAAAATTTGAAAATATCACAGGCTTTTAAGATTTTGAAAATGTTGAAAATATTGAAAATTTAGAGAATCGCGCTCGCGCATTTCGAATGTCTCTCCCCCATGATGCCGCCGCGCGATGTACCTGCCAGACAGACCCGCCTGACTTTTGCCTCCCAACCTAGCCATTTCGAATTTCGGACATGATATAGCCGCTCCCTTGTCTAGAGGGTGTCGAGATCGTTGAACAAATCTCCAAGAGGAGGCTTTTCCCTGTTCTACTAACCCTAGGCAGTTCGAAAATCTGAGGAACAAAGTTTCTTTAAGCTCCTTATAGCAGCAGCGGCTTCTGCTTCTGTGTAAAAAATGAAATTTGTGCGCTTTGCTACCTGAAGACCCTTGAGGACCAGACTACTAATCTTTTCATGGTCTTCTCCGCGCTGAGACAAAAACAATGAAGCAACTGCCGTCGAAAAAGTAATCACAGCGACAAAAAATGCGATAAAAGCCAATTTCTATTCGACTCCGATACATATACATAAGTCTCTCGTCACTCAAAGAGCCATTGAACTTGAGCAACACGCCCCTACGAGTCGCCCGGGTAGTTTAAGGGTGGAATAGCGACAGCTGCTTTTAAACCTGAGCCTCATACGGAAAGGAGATCCACACACAAACGGACAGAAAAAGGGCAGGTCCATCATATAAATATTTATCAGGATCGGTCGTTTCGGATCTGCCAGCAGTTCGGTCTGATTTTCTAACTAGACTGGGAGGTTTACCCATCAGTTCAATCAGGTATTGCCAACATAAAACTTACAAATTGAGTATAAAATGGTGTAAGGAATCTGTATCTTACGAATCTGTGACTACTCTGGGTACAAGGGGCGAAGTAGATATATGACATTTGCTGGACAGCTGTCATTGTCAATTGTCATAAGTGAAAGATGTCAATGTTGTCAGGTGACAGGTTAGGTTATGAAGTAGCGTGAACAGCTGCATTTTGGAGTTTGACCAGTCGCTCAATTGTCACTAACGACATTAATTCGTTCAGCAGCGCTCAGAACCTCTCAGAAGCGGAGCTTAAGCAGTTTAAGATAAAAAGTTGACACTGTTGCCACAGCATCCTTTAAATATAGTCATTGTTTCCAAAAAACAAGTTGAATAAATTATTTTTTCTTTAGTAAGTTATAGCTGGAAAAGTATATTTTGCATGCTGCGTAAAAATCTTGTCAGTCTGTCTCATAGGAATCTCGTTTAACATACATCAAGGGCACTGAAGCAGTGCTCTTCCTACGTTTAGCTCGCATATTGAATGAGACTGCATAGAAATCCTCGTTTAATTCAAACGACCGGGCAAAGTGAATCGGAAAAAATCAGGTGCTTTGTATCCTCAGAGGCAACTCCGCGTACTGAAAAGAACACGACAAAATCTCCCTTCCTTTTACATTTTCACTAATTACTATGCATCATGTAGCGAAGTTTCCAATTAAAAAATTGCGCGTCGCATGACGACGGAGACGCGAGCTGCGGAACTGTTCGGCTTTTTCATCGAAGGCGATCAAAGAAGCTGCCTTTCGGTGAAGACGGCAAGATGCAAATTGCTTATGAAATGTAATCAAAGCGATGATGAAATAACGGAACGGAGGATCGTTGAATATTTAGAACAGATTATTGGTACACTCTTGTATACTTTTTTAAAACCATCTGTGCCACCGCCATATTGTTACGACTTTGACGTGGAGGCAACAACAAAAATTTGAAACATCAAAATGTATTAAGAAAACGCCGGGTAATGAAAGTACAACAAAATGAAGCAGGTACTTACTTTTTAGCCCAGGAAGGTCCAGCCCCACGAACACAGATTCGCCCTGCGTGAATAATCACACATTTCTCAGGTGATGCGGTTTACGGCATCTATCGATATATGTGGCGCCTATGTGGCGCATGTAAGGCGCGTAAACTGTGATATCCTGTCTATATTTCTAGTTATAATTTGCGGACGAGCATAAAATGACGAGAACTTCTAGCCATTTTATACTAAAATGTGTAGGTTGGCTCTTGATGGGAACTTCGTGTGTCATATTTTTTCCCTTCTCCATCTTCGTTTCCTCAGATTACACCCGTATCCGGATGTATGGGCACGTGTATCTACTTTTGTAGTTTTATATATGCATTCATTTCGGGCCTGATGAAGCCAACCAGCAGAAATACGTATCGCTCGGGTTACCTATCCTATTTTCTGCTCGAATCCACTTTCCTTCCTTATGCAAATTTTGTTATAATTATACCTATACAAGTACTATATATGAATGAGAGACTTGTCTTTGGGGATATCGACAAATTAAGCAAAGTGAACCCTTCTGACTTACAAATACTCAAGCTTTCGACAGGCTATGCTGTCATCGTCAGGAGCTAAAAATAAAATTGAAAATAGTAAATAGCAAACCATGCTGAACTGATTATAATTTAATTACTTAATTCGTCAATGAGATTGGTGCTAGTGTTTGATGTCTTAAATTTCAACTTTCAACAATTTCAACAATCATCGTTTTTATTTGTTCTATAGTTTTTTTCTTCCTATGTATTTTGAATCTTTTCAACTGATCTTCTTTTGCCTCATTGCTGTATTTAAAATGTTCAGTTTTTGAATGTATTTTTTCGCATTTTTTGTTTCCTGAGTAAGGCGTAACATTAACGCCTGTTGACTTAAGTCAAGAATCCGAAGAAACTCAAAGCACATAACAGATACTGCGATCATGAATCATTTCTTTTGTATCAAAATTAAAAAAGATAACTGGGATAACACGTAAAAAATGCTGGTTTTATATTGAAATCTGATTCGCTGCTATCAAAATGAAAATTAATTAGAGATTTACTAGCGAATCTATTTAGATTTGACACAGTTGCTAGTGCCTTTCAAAACTGACCAATATTACGTTTTACGAGATTTTCACACCCCCTTGCCTGTTTAATATGAGCCGTGTGGAAGTACTTAAGTAAGTTGGCGAAGTTAGACGCTTAATGAACACAAGTTTACAAGTTGCTAAGTAACGGGGTACAGGGTTGTACTCCAGCCAGGTAATAAAGATTTCCATATTAAGTGGGCGTCTGGAATCTGGATTAAATTTGTTTGGCCGCACTTCTGCGACTCCACAACTCCCCTCAATTGCTCAGAAGCGTACACGAAAACAGCTTAATAAGACAGCGCGAAGCGCCATTTATCACCAGAGTCGTCCACTGTGACCGCTAGAGGCTGACGATTATGTCAGTATAGTGGATGTGGTCTACTCGTCATAAAGTCTGGTCACGCGATCCAAATCGTGGTCGTGTGGCCGCCATATTTAAGAATGACCGCCAAGTTGTAAAACGGTTATTCAATATACAGGGTGTCCGCAAAGTTGGGGTTTTCCTTTACACGACGTGTAGATCTTGAAAACATAAGCAATTTTTCTTAGTACCATATACACCAATGTCTTAAGGGAACCGAGATAAAGGGCTCTGCAACATCAAAAATATCTGAATACCGTCCTGTAGCCGCGACTCGCGACATCCCCGAGTGGTACTAGGACACTAGCTCAACCCGACGACAGAACTGGGTCGGGGTCAGTATGCAACCTTCAACCGACGGTTACGGTCACGCGTGTAGAGGTAAACGAACCCGTTCAAAAAACAACAAGCACTAGAGACGCGGCTAGAGAAGTGCAAGTATCAAAAACTAAAGTGTGGCAAACGCTGCGTGAAAAGGGGCTGTATCCGTTTCACGTCCAACGTGTACAAGCCCTTCAACCTGACGCGTTTCCAGCAAGAGTGCGGTTTTGTGAGTGGTTGTTGCATCAACATGACAATAATCCGGACTTTTTGAAGTGCATATTGGTGACATACGAATCTACGTTCACGCGTAATGGGGTGAATAACTTTCGCAACACTCATGTTTGGTCAGTAGAAAATCCGCACGCTGTCCGTCGGGCACATTTTCAACAAACATTTTCGGTGAATGTTTGGGCTGGCATGGTGAACGGTATGCTCATTGGACCATTTATTCTCGCAAACCGATTGGACGGGATGCAATACCTAGACTTTTCACGCAACATTTTGCCTTCCATGTTAGAAGATGTGCCATTAAGTGTAAGACAATCAATGTGGTTTCTGCACGATGGTCATATTTGTTTCCTCTGTTCGTGGTCTGCACCGCCGGCGTCTGCTCGGTAGCGCATCAGCTGATTTCATTTTATGTTGGAGCGGTATAATTTCGGGCAGAGACGTACTTAGCCCTTCTCGTCAACTGGAGAGTGAGTACTTTTCCCTTTATTTTTTTTACTTGGTCGCCCTCGTTTCACTACACATTACCTTTGTTATTTCAAGGGTAGTTGTTTCTGAAAAGGAAAACCCCAACTTTGCGGACACCCTGTATCTTCGTAATCAACGGGTTGATTTCAACTTTTTAGGTGTTATGTTACTCCGTTTTTAAGAGCAATCTTGTATTTCTGCACATTTTCTAAATAATCCATCAGTTATTCAGATATATCAAGGTTTTCTTTTTTCGTCCATTTGTCCACAAAAATAACACTATTTTGAAAGTATTCTTTTCACAAACACTATTCCTATTAGTCTAATAAAATTCCGCGTTCAAACTAAGGGACATAATTCCACATTGACCTTAGTGGCTGGTAATAGACTATGTATCAGTATTTGTATATTGTACTTTTTAAAAATTTCTAAACTCACATTGATTTATCTAAGGTTAAAAGTAGCCTAACATTAACACGTATCCAAACTTGGGAGATATATAATCACGAACTAATTCAAGGATTCCAGTTTCAGTTTACACTCAAGAAAGGCTGAGCATCGTACGCATCACTAGGTCCGAAATGGGAGCGTACCTGTGCATAGCAACCAATGGCGTGCCGCCTTCTGTTAGTAAAAGGATCATTGTCGATGTTGAATGTAAGTCTATCTCTATTCAATATACAGGGTTCCGGAACCCCACAATATCTTGTGAATTAATAATGGCAGCAAAAAACCAAGCTCCGCGATTGATAGGTGTTTTCCGCAGCTATCCAATGGTGAGCTTGGATTTGACATTGACACATATCATACACGGTCAAGTCGATTTTTTCAAATGGATTCCCCCATTTTTGACCCCGTGAATGAGAAGTGCGGAAAATTTTACGGACAAGTGTGGTCTTGACCATTCTTGAATTCTGACCTTGAGAGGTCATGTTCAAAGATCAAATCTAGGTACGGTGAAATAACCTTTGAGCGAGTAGTATAGCGAAACTACCGAGACATCATTTTCCTGATTTTTCCTCGGATATTCAAAGATGACCTTGGATGTGACCTTGTCCGTGACTTACAAGATCATTTAAAGGTCAACCTTTTTTTTAATGAGACCCTGTACTTTTGATCGCGGCAATGGAGAAAAGGGAAAGTTTGATGTCCTTGACCTTTTTTGGAACTTGTCCTTGGACAAGGTCAAATGCGTGTTCACGTTAACTTCTTGATAATTCAGAAAATGGTGTAATCCCTCGGTCAACCGACTTCACTGTTCTTTCAGGATTGTTCCCTGATTAACAAAATCGACTTGACCTCAACATGACCCTGAAGGTGATCATTGTTGAGGTCAGATTCAAGATCACCGTTGGATATCCGGGAAAAAATCATGAAAACTATGTCTCGGTAGTTTTCTTATACGACTACTGGTTTTCAAGTTATGCACGTTACTGTTCTCATGTCGCTCATTAAATATCCCTGCTATTCTATTAGCGCACTGAGTATTTCCGAAAAATATTTCGATAATTTCGACTCTTTCTGCTGTGGAATATACCATGGTTAATTTATGTAATAAAGCGTTACAAGTTATTTTAGCAACAAAGTTTGGTCAAATCAATCGCAAACTATGTACTAAATTCCTATTTAAAATAAGTACAAGATATTTTACGGACAAGTATGGTCTTGACCATTCTTGAATTCTGACCTTGAGAGGTCATGGTCAAGGTCAAATCTAGGTACGGTGAAATAACCTTTGAGCGAGTAGTATAGCGAAACTACCGAGACATCATTTTCCTGATTTTTCTTCGGATATTCAAAGATGACCTTGGATGTGACCTTGTCCGTGACCTACAAAGTCATTTAAAGGTCAACCCTTTTTTTAATGTGACCCTATACTTTTGATCGCGGCAATGGAGAAAAGGGAAAGTTTGATATCCTTGACCTTTTTTGGAACTTGTCCTTGGACAAGGTCAAATGTGTGTTCACGTTAATTTCTTGATAATTCAGAAAATGAGTAATCCCTCGGTCAACCGACTTCACTGTTCTTTCAGGATTGTTCCCTGACTAACAAAATCGACTTGACCTTGACATGACCCTGAAGGTCACTATTATTGAGGTCAGATCCAAGATCACCGTTGGGTATCCGGAAAAAAATCATGAAAATAATGACTCGGTAGTTTCCTCATACAACTACTGGTTTTCAAGTTATATTACCTTACCTGGGTTTGACCTTGACCATGACCTCCCAAGGTCAAAATTTAAGCATGGTCAAGACGTAATGTTTTCCGCTATTTACATTTACGAGGTCAAAAATGGGGATTCCGCTTAAGAAAATCGATTTGACCTTGAGAATGCCTTGCTGAAGATCAAACTAGATAGTTGGAGAAAACTCATATCGATCGAAGGGCTTAGGTTTCACATACCATCATTAGTTCACAAATTGTCGTGGGGTTCCTGAACTTTTCAGACACCCATATGGCAGGTGAATTCAAATAAACTGTGTTTGCGCCTCTTTGGGTATTTCATCTTGTTCTTATTCTAATGTTTTAGGGGGTGAACCAGAGCACGGATACCACTACATCACTGACACTATCATACCCTACCACAGTACACAGGACAAACGGTATACACCATTTTTGCAACTGGGCTGGTTTCATAATTTCCAGTCGATATGAGGGTAAGGTTAATTATCGACTATATTAAGCGGTGATCGATTGTTTCGATTGGTAGTAAAATTGGTAGGGGTTCGGAAATTGTATGACGTCGACGCGGTTTTCGCGGTTTTTTAGGAGGTTCGCGGTACGTTCGGAAGGAAAGAGGTACCGTTTCGGAAAGTAGAAACTCGGCGCTTTACGGGCGGGCGAGAGCCGTCGCGGCGAGAGGAACGGATCGGATCGAAAACGGCCGGTAAAGTCGAAAAATCGACCGTTTTTCGGACGGTACGGAGACTTTTTTATCTGCCGCGTCGCCGTTTATCGAAATATCGACTCGAGATCGGTCTCGTTCGATAGCTAAACGCCGGGCGCACGCTTTAGGTCGGAACTGATCGCGGTCCGCGTCTTAGTTTTTTTTTAAGAAAATGTTAAAGAAAACGCGAGAAAAACGGCAAGTCGCGGTAAAAACTTCGATATCTCCTCTACGCCGAAGAGAAAAGAAATTTCGCACGCCGCGTTTCGTACATCTCGACTAGCGCTACGAATTACGCGGAGAGACTTTTTTCCGTTTACGGCACCCGTTTCGAATAAACGAACCTCGAACGTCGTCAAGAATGACTTTTTTGCTTATGAAACGCGCTTATCGCCGTCCACGGTCTATCTCCTCCGAAGATAACGAAGATATGGACCTGGCGCCTGTCGCATAAGAAAGCCCGTACTTCGAATACGGGATCGCAACATTATCCGTTTCTCTATTCGTTTACGTTGAAAAGTTTCGATTTTTTAAAAATTCCTCGACAATACGCTACATCGACTATATTAAGCGGTGATCGATTGTTTCGATTTGGTAGGAATTGGTAGGAGCTGCGGATTTGTCGTATGACGTCGACGCGGTTTTTCCGGTTTTTTTCCCGGTTCGCGAAACGTTCGAAAGGAAAGCGGTACCGTTTCGGAAACTAGAAACTCGGCGCTTTACTGGGGAGCGAGAGCCAGTGCGGTAAGAGGAACGAACCGGATCGAAAACGGCCGGTAAAGTCGAAAAATCGGCGGTTTTTCGCGCGGTACGCGGAGTTATTTCACACTCGTGACAAATTTTATACTTTCAGTTATGTAGTCTTTTGTGTCTTTAAAATATCAAGGTTAATTATATCGACGATATTAAGCGGTGATCTTTTGATTTTTTCTTACCTACCCTCTCGAGTCTGGATCGGGGCGTTTCGATGTCGGCGCCGTTTTTCGGTTTTTTTAACGGTTCGCGAAAGGTTTTATCAGAAAACGATACCGTTTCGGAAACTAGAAACTCGGAGCTTTACAGGCGAGTAAGAACCGACGAGGTACGAGGTCGAAATGCGATCTAAAACGGCGGTTAAAGTCGAAAAACGGTAGTATTTCGCGTAGTATGAAGACTTTTTTAAGCTAAGTTTCGCCGTTTATCAAAATATCGTCACGAGATCCGTCTCATTCGATACCTAAATGATGAGCGTTCTTTATAGCGCGGCACTTTTTTTATTCCGCCTCTTAGTTTTCATTCTAGAAAAAGCGAGAAAAATGGCGAATTGCCGGAAAAATGATATCTCCTTTATGCCAAAGAGAAAAGGAATTTCGCACGACACATTTTGTACAAGTCATATTGATTTCGTGGAGAGCTTTTTCCGTTTAGGGCAGGCCCAGGATCTATATTTTCCGAAGATAACGGAGATACGGACCTGGCAACTTCTGCATGAGAAGGACTCAAACATGCTACTAATTTCTTCCGATTATTCGTTTTCCGTTGAAAAAAGATTTTTTTAAATTCCTCGACTATATGCTACTTTTCGATACACGACAAAGTTAACATGTTTTGGGCCTTCCCTGGGCCTATTGATACTATAAATATGCAAGGTAAAAGTGAGATAGTAATTAAAAAATAAACATTTTAGGAAACGAGCCTGACTGTTAGAAGTCCTGTCAGATTTCGAAAAAGCAAACCTTTAGGGCCTCACAGGTACTGATGACGAGCCATTTTTCCGCGTACTTTGTCTTTTTCGATACAGACCTTTGTTACGAATCGAGCTGGCTACAATTTTTTTCGCAAAACGAAAGACCAAAGTCTCCTGATTAACTCGATATGCAAGTCACTAACCGATCGCAATTTTTAAACTCGACAAATCACAAAATTCCAGGTTATGCAGTTATATTTTAAGCCTGACAGTTGCTACGTCCCCTAATTTGGTTTTTGAGATTTGCGATTCCTGTTAGGCGGGGAATTATAGCTATGATAATACTACAAAAGCGAGCGCGTGCTAGCGGAACAAAACGTGCCATTTTCGGCTTTATGACGTTCGCTGCATCCAATATTGGATCATCCCAAATAGCACTGTCGTTTTTATGAAAATAAACATTTTTAAATAGATTCAGAATTTCTATATTCTAAAACTGCACTACAATAGCAACAACCAAACACGGTTTGCGCATGCGCGTTGCGAACGAACTGAATACGCTTGTTATGTATAATAAGAGTAGAAATTAGGATCCTATATCCGATGTTCGTCTAATACTACGTATTGATTTGGCTTTGCTGAAAAACCGAGCGTCCTCCTCTTTGCACGCGTTGCGGCTTACTGAACGGTTTTTAGCAGCCCAAGGTAGTCATTCAGATCGGTACACTTTATGGTGCCTACCGATATGCTGCGCCATTCTATTGGAGAGTGGAATAAAAAATATATTCGTCCAAACGCTGATAGCAAATCCTAATTTATCTGGTCTAATCAAGAATGTTCAAACAAAGCTACAAATGTCATATCAGCAGAGCGGAGACAGCAACTGGTTGCACGTATATAAAGAAATACACAAATTATATTATTCATAAAATCAAATTCGTACATTTATAAAAAAGACTTACGTAATATTGCGATTACAATCATTGTCAAATGTACTAAGTGACATATAAATCCGAACACCCAGTTTAAATGGTTTTATTTTAATAAAAGTTGGTGAATGTATTTATCTTACTGTAAATAACAAGTGAAAAAATTTTCAGCCTTATCAGTTAGACATTCCGGTTTTTATACTGCTTTTTTTTAATTCACTAACGCTCTAAAAATTTATATTTCAGCCGCAGTAAAGAATCAACGTTGGCGGATTTTGGTTCTTGACATCCTTTACGATCGGTTACGATGCCTAGAGTACGGAGACCTGTACGATTTCGTCAACTTAGCAAGTTTGATAGGGGCCGTATCATGTTCGGGAAGCTGGACTTTCTTTTCGGGCAATTGCAGTTAGAGTGCAAAGAAGTGTAGACACTGTGGTTAGGTGTTGTCAGGCATGGCTTCAAGAAGGCCGTAGGCAAAGAGCAAGGGGCACTGGACGCCGCCGTAGAACAACAGACCGTGAAGATCGCCGCCTAAAATTATTGGCCTTAGGGGACCGTTTCTCCACTACCAGGTCCATTGCAAATGAATGGTTTGCAGAACACGGAAGACCTATTGGCATGCGAAGTGTTTACCGATGAATGAGAAGTTTTGGCTTGTTTTCATACCGGCCACACTGGGTGCTCCCTTTAACTCGAGAACACCGACGTAATCGCCTTGAGTGGTGCAGACAACGGTCACTCTGGGATCAGGAATGGAACAGTATTGTCTTTAGTGACGAGTCTCGATTTTGTTTAGGCATGCACGATGGTCGTGCCAGGGTTAGAAGGCGACGTGGTGAAAGGGGGAATCCACAGTTTTTTGTTGAAAGACATGTTCATCACACTGTTGGAGTTATGGTTTGGGGTGCTATAGCTTATGGTTCCAGGTCACCTTTAATCTTCATCAGAGGTAACATGAACGCGCAGCGTCATATCTACGAAGTTCTAGAACCCCATCTTTTACCCTATCTTGACACCCTGGCAGATCCAACTTTCCAACAAGATAATGCCCGACCACATGTTGCAAGAGTCACAATAGACTTCTTTCAACATCATGATGTCACATTGTTACCATGGCCACCAAGATCTCCCGACTTATCCCCAATTGAGCACAAGTGGGATATGATGGGTAGGAGATTGCTCAATTTGCAACGTCCTCCTCAGACTCTAGAAGCACTTCGAGAGGAGTTGGTGGTTGCCTGGAATGAGATACCACAGGAGGACATTGACCACCTGATCAGAAGCATGCCTAGGCGCGTTGGAGAATGCGTAGCACATCAGGGTGCATCCACACATTATTAAAGGTCAAAGGTCTTTAAAGTAGTGCAATGATTTTGAAATTTTTATCATTTACTTATTATGCTTCATTAAGTACAAAATTTTATTAAAATAAAACCATTTAAACTGGGTGTTCGGATTTATATGTCACTTAGTATAATAATAAAAAATATGGGCGTTGTATAAGTACTCTTTGAAATCATCTAATAGTATAGAGGTGAGAAAACAAATTGACTGAAACTTGAATAATTTGCTTTTCCTATATTGGCACTATGTATTCAACATACATACCAAATTCGGATCATGAATTTTTGTATAAATCAGTACACAAGATTTGCTCAACTCTCTTCACCATTTGAGGACCTGTTGCATGTTGATGCACGTTTCCCATATACTTCACTCAACTGGCGATGAATTTTTATGACTAATAACGATTTTGCGTGAAAAATCCGTTGTGCATCGCTGTCATACCGGTACTGAGCGAGCCCAATAGGCGCTTCTCGTTGGGATAAGTGGTGGAAGAGCCGGCAAACTCCAGGGTGTTGCCAGATTTGGTCGAAACATCCCTCGTATGTTACATAGATTTTTTTTATACTCCATCTACCACGAAAGCCTAAGGCCTAAACACCCATTGGGTATCGTGGGGCTATAGGGGGATACAGGTGAAAGGTGGAACGCCACACGGACTCTGGCGAGGGAACACGTGTGCATGCAACAAGCACACATTCTGGCCCCGCCTACGAGATCCGCCGGGTGGTACCTCCGTGTTCGACAGTCAGAGACCGTCTAATACCTACGGACAATCACAACATCCATAGCTAAGAGAAAAATTTCCCCTGGGATGGGATTCGAACCCGCACAGCGCACGGCGACTGATTAGGAGACCGAAGAGTCTACTACTGCGGCCACCGCTGCTGCCTAAAAAAAAATGTTACAAGCATTACCGTGCGAGGATCTGTGGGGAACGACTGAGTGGTTGCCGCTACTGGAGAATCTCACACTTCGGGCAGGAAAGGCCAACGGGGCAATACCGTCAAGCTTTTCTGCCTGAGAGTGGCTATAAAAGCTTCTCCCTGTCCGAAAAACTCTGGGATCTGTTGCGTATTCGTATCATAGACTGGATTTAACGGTACTGTACTTGACTAAATTTGAAGCAGTGTTGTTGTAAAATATTTGGCGAGCGTCAGTGCGACCGCAGTTTGCACATTAATTAACCGGCCGCGTGCATAATTTCCAGTTGACTTTGATGTGGTAATTCTGTTAATATGAACGGATTCATTCCTTGTAAACTTTGTGCATGAGCATTTCGGCCGGAAAATTCAAATTTGTGAAGGTAACAGGAAATTCTATAGCAAAGGTCATTTTCGAGAAAAAAAAAGACTAGTAGGCAAACAGAAACGTGTCATTCTACTGGCGTGGGAAGTAAAAGGGCTTATTCATTTTTATCCTATGTTTTTTCGAATGTTATCTATTTTTTACTCAGTGACCTAGAAAACAAAATTATTCAACTTGATTTTTCGGCAACGAGGTAGTCTTACATCAAGAAGTTCAAACGTTGACGACAGTGGTCCGCAATCAGAGAAAGCACTAAATGTCGACGGTATGAAAAAAGTCCACAGGCTCGAAAGCGGTGATAGGGTCCACGCATAGTACCAGGTCTGCCTTCTTCACCAAACCATTGGTCTGTGATCTGACGACCAGTTGGCCTTCTTCGTGTTCCTCTATCTTCGTCTATCCACACACGACACATGCATTACCGTCATCGCAGTACAATTAACACGGCGGCCAATTTTGCGATAGGACAAACCAACATCTTGATAGGCAATAGTTCTACCCCTGTCAATTTGGACGTCTTCGAGCCAGGTTATGCAGTTATATGTTTAAAATTAGTAAATGAATGGGCAATAACTAAAAATGTCTGTACTACTCACCTCTCAGAAACTGCTTTCTTCACAAAAGCTAAGAGATAACATTTTAAAAGAGGCAAACAAAAACAAAGACAAAAAGTTTTTTCAATGTTTGTTTTTAGTTGAATGTTTGTCTATTTTATATTTCAATATTTGTTTAATTTTGACTGTCTTGCACTAAAGTATGTTATCTACTTATCTATTTTCTGTGTATTTTTTACACTATTGTTTCCATTGACGTGTTCTACGTCATCTTATGATGGTCTAACAGAACTGATTAAGAAATGAAATGAAATACCTGTCTCCCATCCCAACTCTGTTGAACACCGACTACCCCCTCCTCATTCCAGCGGGTCGAGATTCAGAAATAGTCTTCTCTTATTTCTGAACTTCAAAAATCGGATTAACAAGGCATGTCAAAGTTCCTTACAGCAGTCGCGGTGCCCCAGTAGTCAGGCTTATTGTTATCCTGGCTATATCTAATTATGCTTTGGGGATAAAAATAAAACTATCACTGTACTCAGTTGGTAGATAATAAGACCTCAGAGTGTGGTTCTTTGTACTTTGATCTTTGATACAAATGGTTGAGGTTTGGGCGCCACGTAGTTCCAAGAACTAGGAAAAATCAAAATCAAAACTTAAACTGCCCGCCAAACGATGGATCTCCGGAGCTAAAGAAAACACAAATTCACAAGACACACAAACATTTATTGAACATAAAAAATTTAAAAGTAGTCCTGGGAGTCAAACAAGGGTAAGAAAAATCAGATGTAAATCAGCACCCCAAGGTAGAACCCTAAAACGATAAAACTACTTGTTAAAAATAACCCGAAATAACGATTTGACTAATTTTTAATTTGCTTCCAAGAATTGAAAATTCAAATTTCAAAAGGAACAATTTAGTCTTGGGTGACATCAACCCGAAAATATAAATTGCACTAGCAATACCCAAAAACTTCCCACAACCCGTGAAATCCGCAACACTGGATGTGAAATTGTTTCACTAACGTAGGTTGTGGCCGCTGATCTGCTACACGAGAGCACAGGAAAAAACACGTCCAGATCTCGTATTTCAGGTCGACGGACATTATAAAAAAATTAAGTACGTGACAACCGGATGCGCAAGGTCCACATGAAAAATCACAATGATTAACACAGAAGAGTTTCCAACTAACTAGACATTGTGTTACCCGGTATCAACAATGATTATGAGTTTTAACCTCACAACAACAATTCTATGACAAAATAATTCCCGTTCCGTGGTAATCTCTGCGTTAACCATACCGCACGCCCTCTATTGTCGAACAGCAACATCAACCAAATCCTGGCAGTGACCTTTAAAGAGATGGAGAGTAGAGTACGATCCTCCACCACAGAACCATTAGAACAAAAGAAGTGTTTTGCGATAAAAATAAAATACAAAATTTGTAGAAAAATTTATAAAATTTACTATTCTAAATGAGAAAAACGTTGTAATAACTTACTATATCAAGATATACAGGGTGTCCGCAAAGTTGGGGTTTTCCTTTTCACAAAGAACTACCCTTGAAATAACAAAGGTAATGTGTAGTGAAACGAGGGCGACCAAGTAAAAAAAAAATAAAGGAAAAAGTACTCACTCTCCAGTTGACGAGAAGGGCTAAGTACGTCTCTGCCTGAAATCGAAAGTTATTCACCCCAATACGCGTGAACGTAGATTCGTCTGTCACCAATATGCACTTCAAAAAGTTCGGATTATTGTCATGTTGATGCAACAACCACTCACAAAACCGCACTCTTGCTGGAAAATCGTCAGGTTGAAGGGCTTGTACACGTTGGACGTTTGCCACACTTTAGTTTTTGATACTTGCACTTCTCTAGCCACGTCTCTAGTGCTTGTTGAGGGATTCTCGTCTACGCGATTCAGTAATTCTTCACACAAATCTGCGGGGCCTTGGATGATGTCGTCTAGGGAAACGATCTGCATACACTCGCGACGATTCTGTAGCATTTTGAAGACATTCGCCATAAATTAACAACATATCAACGAGTTCATTATTGGTGTATTCGTTACCTCTATACGCGTGACCCTTTACCGTCGGTTGAAGGTTGCATACTGACCTGACACACTGACCCCGACCCCCGACCCAGTTCTGTCGTCGGGTTCAGCTAGTAGCCGGTACCAGTCTGGGATATCGCGGCGGGTCGCGGCTACAGGACGGTATTCAAATATTTTTGATGTTGCGGAGCCCTTTATCTCGGTTCCCTTAAGACATTGGTGTATATGGTACTAAGCAAAATTGCTTATGTTTTCAAGATCTACACATCGTGTAAAGGAAAACCCCAACTTTGCGGACACCCTGTATAATAAAATATATATATATAAAAACAAACTGTAGCATTATTCCTACGTTACTGCTTCAGTATAAAAAAATGACAAAGCGATATTTCCTGGCTGACGAGAAAATAAAAAACGATTTCCCCTTTCCATATAAAAATACTCAAGTATGTGACATCGCAGACAAGCATTGTTTCATAATGAAAACGTCGCGTTTCGCTAGGAATCGCCGAAAGCAAATTACGAACTTTCAACAGTAGCTGAAACTTTTTCGAACGCGACGACGTATTTCGACGTACGCTGTTTGTTTAAAATTTGGAATTATAGTCGCAAGAGCCGTTCGGGATCGATCGTTGGCGCAGCAGAGAAGGCAAAAAAGGCTAGTCTGTAATGTTTACAAATTACGGTCGAGACCCAGATGCAAATATTTTATGTAAACATGGTATAAAGGAGCCTTTATTTCGGCTCGAACCGAAATCTAATTCTCAGAACGATGCCGGCTTATAAAAGGCTCCGGCTCGTACAGTAAATTGTGTATATATTCGCAAAAAATGCGCACCGTATTGCCAATAAGGAACAAGATAAAGAGGATGTACATTCTGGTTTACGGATTTAATGCACGGAATGCCCCAAGGAAAATGGGAAATAGTTTTTTATGGAAGAAACACGCACAGTATTCAAAGAACGTGAATGATATAGCTTGTCTGCTACTTATGCCTTAGCCAAAGAGTATTTATACAGGGTGGCCAATATATAACTGACTGATTTAAATTGCGCGCTATTTTTTAGTAGTTGTTTAAAGCTCATGTGTCCAATTCGTCATGGAACGCTACACCATTCCACAACGCGTCCGTATTGTTAAAACGTTTTAATTAAATATTGAGTCGAAGTTGAGGTGAAGTTAAAGACTCGCCAAGGTCAAGTTGTGTTCAAACTGTTCGTTCTCCGGAAAATATCGAGAGAGTTCGTGAAAGTGCAGGGAGCGCCCTGAGACGTCTACCAGACATCGTTCTCAAGAACTGGGTATTCATCGCACGCCATTCTGAACAAAAAAAACTTGCCTTTGCGACCATACAAACTTTAGTTAATCCAAGAACTAAAGCCTAGGGGCCATGAAAGTCACCGACAATTCAGTCGTGCAATATTACAGCTTAATACCCAAAATAACTGATAATGAGCGATGAAGCTCAATGTTAATAACAACAGGTTCAGAAATCGTACTGTCAGCAGTGGGCAAAAGCCAGTCAAGTCCAGGACTTGCCCGGTTTCTGCATTGGACCTGTCAATTGCTAGAAGTAGAATCTACCCTCAATCTGCTTGGTCAGTGTCCAGAAATACCGACTGCTCCAGCGCTGCGATTTTCTTTTGATATTACGAACCAGCTGATTCTAGGCTCAATATCAGTTTCAAGACGACTCTGTTACCGAGCAGTGTCTCACGATTAGTTAAGCCAACACGTCAGTGCCTGGCTGTGTACGTCATCAGCTGATGTAGCTAGCTTTGTTATGGAATACAATTTTTTTTATATGAAACGGGTTCCATGATACGCCTTCTTTATTTTGGCAGTTCCACCAATGATCTACGTGCCCAATCAGCTAGTCGGCGCTCCAGTGGGCACGGATGTCACACTGCACTGCCACGTGGAAGCGTATCCAAGGGCTATCAGCTACTGGGCTAGAGATGGCGCTGTGCTGTTAGCCTCCAAAAAGCATGGTACAGAATCTGCAGAAAACGGGTGAGTGAGTTAGAATTGCTTTTCTGTTTCGAGAATATTTTATAAGTCCAGAGATTCGTATTACGATGATGCATGTAATAAACCTAGTAATTATAGCAAGAATGAAACTATCCGTATCGAGGTAAGGTAAAGAAAAATTATGGTGTCAGTATCCAGATAACATACGCGTGTCAATCAGTTTTGAGTCGGTTGTTAGCACGAGCTATGCGAGTTGCCTACCTTAAACTTTGTTGAGCGTCATTCTCCCATAGACGGTGTTCCCGGTGCAGTTTCTGCAAGCTCCGAATGCAAAGTGTTAAAACTCGGATAAGTCAAAGAATATTTTACAGGAATGATAATTTTTAAAATATCGACAGAACATCATTTTTAGCCAATACTGGACTATTGCGATTTTTTAATTTCCTGTAATTAATTGTATTTTGGGTTTCAACAAACGCTGTGTCCTGTTATAAGGTTGCCGAAGTTTCGGAAAAATGTATTTCCTCCTTCAAAACTCTAGAAAAAAAATGTTAAACCACTAACTTTACATATACAATAATTGACAATTTAAATAATAAAATTGAAGTAGAAGGTATCTATTTTGGTTGAGACATTATATAAAATGAGCTGTTTAAACTAATCCTTGATTTTCATCAACAAGATAGCAATTCTCAACATATATAAACACAAAAAATGAATTTAAAACAAAAATTATTGGATAGATATTTAAAAAACGAGTTAAAAGTGTTTTCCGTGTTCGATTACAAAAAAAAAGAAACTGTAGGAAACTCACCTTTTTCTTGTACTTGTACCACAACTGTGGAGGTTAAAAAATTATCCAACGTTATGCACATCTTAGAAATTATTTAGACTGCAACTGATCATTATAGCAAACGAAAAACTATTATGAAGTACAGCTAGACACAGATTGATGGAAAGGAGAAAGCTATTTCTAGATAGCAAAAGTATGAGCTATTTTTTTGTTATATTTGATGTTTTGACATTTTATTGATAACTATTATGTGCAGGTAATTATTTTGTTCTCGTAAAATTATTGATATAGTACATGAAACCTAAATCTGATGCGTCTGTTCTTTTGTTCACAGCATTATTGTGCTTTTTGATTTCCAATATTTCCCATAATTATATAGGGTGTTTGGTGCATCGTTTGCCAAATTTAAATGGCGGACAGAGGAGGTCTTTTTCTAGCACCTCAGGTCCCTCAAACAGTTTTTATCCCAACGGAATTAATTATGTAGATTTTTTAATTTTTTTTAGTAAAAACTCCAAAAAAAAAATAAAGAGTATGTCCACCTAATGATTAATTTATCTTAATGGGTGAAGTTGTACCAATCTTACAAAATCAACATTACTTGCCAGCAGCATGTAGTTTTTTATTAATAAACTCACAAAGGGTTACAAAGAAGAACAAAAAAATTACACAACAGAAACAAAAATTCATTCTTATTATCCGACCGTAAAAATTTGACCCTGTACGCAAAATTTGTAAATTCAAGAAATTATTTCAGCTTTTTCGTGACTTGTGGCATACCATTAGAATCTGGATAAACTAGAGTAGTTTTTAAAAGAATTCTAAGAACGTAAGCGCTTTTAGTTTTTTTACAGAAATTCAAAATTGAGACTTACATTTTTTTGTTCTTCTTTGTAACCCTATGTGAGTTAGAGTTTTTACAAAAAAAATTTAAAGATCTACCTAATTAATGCCATTTGGCTAAAAACTGTTTGAGGGACCTGGAGTGATAGGAAAAGACCTCGCCTGTCCGCCACTTCAATTTGGCAAACGATGCACCAAACATCCTGTATTTTTTTACAAAAATACAGTGGTGTGTCTCTATTTTGAATCCTTGTTAGCGTAGACCTTAGACAAGTTTCAAGTAAGAGAAGATCCATTTTTACAGATATCGGACGCACATGAGGATGACAGTTCGCCGATTAGCTGAAACAGATTTCGGCAACTATCGGTGTGTTGCGAAAAATGCCTTAGGCGAGGCGGAAGGATCCATCAGGTTATACGGTGAGCAAATTTAAAAAATATCAGGTGGTATTAAAATAGTTGTGAACAATTCAGGAATCAGGATGGAGCTTACGTTCTAAGGGATCTAAAGTTGTGCTTGAAGTTCGTCCATCCTGATTTCTACTCTACTTAACGATAATCACTTGCTGAAGAAGTTTATAAAATTCAACACTTGATCTATCTCAACTTAACTGTAAACAGATATAAAAACCTATCCTCATCTGAAGTATGTTCGATAGCTGTAATAGTTGTTGTTTTATGTTTAACAGACTAGTACGAAGGGTTTTTAAAATGTAGCAAATATGTATTTCTCATCATAGTGAAGCATGTTACAGGTATGACTCACATTAGGCACTGAAGACTTCTGTCAGCTGGGTTTAGGAGGTCTAGAAGACTGTCAGCTGGGTTTGGGAGGTCCAGAAAAAGGTGAGTACTTAATTAGTAACTAACTATATCGATAACAATATTTTTTTCAAGGAGTATATTTTCAAACCATGCACTACAAGAGCGTCTTGAATTTTTTCGTGTAAGTAGGATGGTAGTTTATGTATAATAATCTTATGGTACTGTACGAGGCTATGAAGCAGCCTGCGTTGCTTCATGTCCAGCCAGCCAGCATCAGTAAGCTTTGATGAAACAGAATCGTATTTTCTTAAACCAAAAATAAGTCTCAGACAAGAATTTTGCACGCGTTGTATACTAAGTGACATATAAATCCGAACACCCAGTTTAAATGGTTTTATTTTAATAAAAGTCGGTGAATGTATTTATCTTACTGTAAATAACAAGTGAAAAAATTTTCAGCCCTATCAGTTGGACATTCCGGTTTTTATACTGCTTTTTTTTAATTCACTAACGCTCTAAAAATAAATATTTCAGCCTCAGTAAAGAATCAACGTTGGCGGATTTTGGTTCTTGACATCCTTTACGATCGGTTACGATGCCTAGAGTACGGAGACCTGTACGATTTCGTCAACTTAGTGAGTTTGATAGGGGCCGTATAGTGGGACTTCGGGAAGCTGGACTTTCTTTTCGGGCAATTGCAGTTAGAGTGCAAAGAAGTGTAGACACTGTGGTTAGGTGTTGTCAGGCATGGCTTGGAGAAGGCCGTACGCAAAGAGCAAGGGGCACTGGACGCCGCCGTAGAACAACAGACCGTGAAGATCGCCGCCTAAGATTATTGGCCTTAAGGGACCGTTTCTCCACTACCAGGTCCATTGCAAATGAATGCTTTGCAGAACACGGAAGACCTATTGGCATGCGAAGTGTTTACCGACGAATGAGAAGTTTTGGCTTGTTTTCATACCGGCCACACTAGGCCCTCCCTTTAACTCGAGAACACCGACGTAATCGCCTTGAGTGGTGCAGACAACGGTCACTCTGGGATCAGGAATGGAACAGTATTGTCTTCAGTGATGAGTCTCGATTTTGTTTAGGCATGCACGATGGTCGTGAGAGGGTTAGAAGGCGACGTGGTGAAAGGAGGAATCCACAGTTTTTTGTTGAAAGACATGTTCATCACACTGTTGGAGTTATGGTTTGGGGTGCTATAGCTTATGGTTCCAGGTCACCTTTAATCTTCATCAGAGGTAACATGAACGCGCAGCGTTATATCCACGAAGTTCTAGAACCCCATCTTTTACCCTATCTTGACATCCTGGCAGATCCAACTTTCCAACAAGATAATGCTCGACCACATGTTACAAGAGTCACAATAGACTTCTTTCAACATAATGATGTCACATTGTCACCATGGCCACCAAGATCTCCCGACTTATCCCCAATTGAGCACGTGTGGGATATGATGGGTAGGAGATTGCTCAATTTGCAACGTCCTCCTCAGACTCTAGAAGTACTTCGAGAGGAGTTGGTGGTTGCCTGGAATGAGATACCACAGCAGGACATTGACCACCTGATCAGAAGCATGCCTAGGCGCGTTGGAGAATGCGTAGCACATCAGGGTGCATCCACACATTATTAAAGGTCAAAGGGCTTTAAAGCTGTGCAATCATTTTGAAATTTTTATCATTTACTTATTATGCTTCATTAAGTACTTATACAAAATTTTATTAAAATAAAACCATTTAAACTTGGTGTTCGGATTTATATGTCACTTAGTATATTTTCTTAAACCAAAAATAAGTCTCAGGCAAGAATTTTGCACGCGTTCTACTTTATCAGAGGTGAATTTAGTTAGACATTTGTCATAGACGACATCACAGAAGTTAAAATGCGACAGAACACGACAATTGCATAGTATGACTTTAGTTTTTTGGTTCATATAAGATTTTTGACCGTATATCGTCTTCAAATATTTCAATACGCCCTTCTGGAGCACTTGTTAACATGATCCTCAAACCTTAAGTTTTTGTCAAGGTATAAGCCTAAATTACGCGCCTTCGAGCTTATTTCTGAAGTATTGTTATCGAGGTTTATTTTCACCAGAGGTTCATAATGGTCTTTCCAATTTTTCGGCCGGAATAACATGACTGTACTTTTAGCCGGATTCAAGTCTAAGCATACGTTTCGAGACGCTTTAGTGAGACGATCAAGGTCTTTATTTATCAGATCAACAGCAAGCAACGTTTGAACTGGACGAAATGAAAAGTACACTTGTATCATCTGCATAAAAATGAGCTTTACAAGAATGAAGACTCAAGTATAGATTAGAGGTGTAAATAATGAACATTAGCGGACCCAGAATAGAGCCCTGAGGAACACCAATGGTCACTTTCAATGGCGTGGACAGCGCCACCTTCAACTAACCCGGCAAACACCTGTCTGTGGAAGACCCCAAAGCTGCGTTGCCATATCTACTGTTCATGGCTCGTTAGTTGAAGGTGGCGCTGGGCGTGGAGTACTTATCATTCAGCATTACCTGCTGTTGACGATCGCTGAAGTAGCTACGCATCGGCCGAGAAACCGTAAAAGTGGAGCATGGCTAAGAGTAGGTCATGATGTGTCCTGTGAAATGACTTCGTATAATCTAAGAGCACCAAGGCGGTCAGGTTGCCTTTGTGCATAATACATCATCCACCACTCCCAGCAATGCTGTTGCACAGCTATGCGGCGGACGGAACCCTGGTTGTGTATCTATAATGAGGTTATTCGTTGTTAAGATTTGAAACGTCTACCACTGCATACTAAGATAATACAAGATCTCAAACATAGACGGTCCTGAGGGAAAAACATATCGATACACATATAGACTGACGAGTCTTCCGTGGTGTGCCGACATTTTGAAAATTCAATACAGCGGAGGCATCGAAACTAAAATTTGTCATTGCGTTTGTATGCAATCACAAAACAGGTCGAAAGCCTGCGCTAAATCAGCAACTTTCAAAGCCATAATAATACACTTCAGATTCACAACAACCTGTCTTGAAAGTTGGGACTCTCCTTTGCAGAAACAACTGCGTTTGAAGTAACAAATATGCAGTAAAATAGCAGAGAAAATGTAAAAAAGAACTTGACTACTCATTTGATAAGTTCAAAAACACAAATTTGTTGACCGGATGTAAACAAAAGGTTCGGGTGATTTTCACGCTAACGCCGCCGTCTCGACGTAAAACAGGAGCCCTCATTGGTCAATTGGCAATTAAATGCCTATGCCGAGCGGCAGAGCAGTCGTATCAAGGCAGAGTCACATTCAGGTTCAGACGTGTTACGTATGTCGTGTGCATCATTGCAATTTGATATTTCTTTGGACATTTTCGTTTGTTATCTTATTAAGTTGTTGAGTTTGTCGTTGTTATTGTTATACCTTGTTATTGATTGTTATTGTTATCAACTGCTTGCGCAAAATGCCCAGTAGTACAGATACTGCCGATGAAGTTGTAAACTCCTGTAGTCCACCTAGGAAACGCTCTAAAAAAAGACACCTGAGTGCAGAAATGAAAGAGGTCATTTTGAATATATATAAGATCGAGCGCGAGGAGAACGAGGCATCAACCATCAAAGAAATTGTTGTGAAGGTTTCTCACAAAGTTGGGGTGTGTCGCGCATCAGTGTTTAATGTGTTAAGACAATACAAAAAAAATCACACCTTTTCTGAGCCAATGACCAGTAAACATCGCAAAAGTATTGTTAAATCATTGGATGAAGCTGATAAGCATGCGATTAGGAGGAAAGTGCATGAATTCTTCTTTAGGAATGAAATACCTACTATAGATAAAGTACTGCAGGAGGTAAATGGAGATACAACGTTGCCAAATTTCAAACGATCAACTTTCCATGCGTTACTGAAGCGTTTAAATTTCAAATGAAAAAAACGGGGTCGTAATAGTTTACTACTGGATAGAGAAGAAATTGTGCTATGGAGGAGGGATTATTTAACAAAAATTGGGAAATATAGAAATCAAAACAGGAAGATTTATTACCTTGATGAAACGTGGGTAAACGCAGGACACACTACAAGTAAAGTATGGGTTGATGATTCTGTAACTTCATCCAGGAGGGCCTTTCTAGATGGACTGTCCACCGGATTAAAAAATCCAGCAGGTAAATACGAGTAATAGACAACAATCGGATGTTTTTCAAACCTTGGGAACAAGGTTCTAAACATTAATTCCAGGGGGCAGATAAAACATATTACAAGTAACAAAACTTTTATAACTTTCGATAAAATGCGTGGATGTTTTATTGTCATTTTCATTTGTTAGAACTTTTTTAAGCCATGTTTTTATGTGTTTTCGATATTTCAATAATTTTGTAATATAATCTTAAAATATGTCGAATATTATAAACTTAAAAAAAGTTACTAAGTTTTATATTGTGTACCGTTCCTAATATTTCTAATCATTTTAATTCATACTTTAAGCTTTATAAAGTTATAATTTGTTAATATTAATATTTGCGCGTATTTCAGGTTCCTGATCATTCATTTTTTGCAGGTTTATAACTTTAAATTAAATTGTGAAGCGCTGAGTAATCATACGACGTTCAATATTCTTTCTTTCAATATGACTAAATAATCCCAATTATAGCAATCTGATACTCATGTCTCAATGTTTTT